TGTTAAAATAAGTAGGGTGTGTGTGTGGGGGGGGGGGCTCAAGTGTATAGGCAACAGGAGCTCCAGGCAGTTCTGCGTGGGTTGATGGATTTAGGATGGACGTGGTCCCCGTAGACAAAGCTAATCATAACCTTTGGGAGAAAACTGGTCTCTGTAGCCCCATCTAGTGAGTCTCTGGGGCTTCAGGAGAGTGAGAATCACCCCAGTGCCCTGAGATCAGCCCACCCCTCAGACTGGCCATCTTGCAGCCTCCAGAGCAGACCGAGGCCATCGTAGCTATAAATGTCTCACCAGGGCCATCCCTTGGGGGAGAGGTTTGGGGCCAAGTGTGGCCCAACCCCTGAGAGTTACTGGACCCTGTTGGGTCTAGGTCAGGGGGATGTGCTGCTTGAGCTCCATCCTGGTAGGGCTCAGGGCTCTTGTGGGAGGTCCAATGGGGTCTTAGATGAAGCCATGCTATGCATGGATGTGGGAGAGGGAAATCTGATTTAAATGAATATTTGCTGTGGCCTTGGAGGAGAAAGGAAGGGATCAAAGGGCCACTGGAAGAAGGGTCAGGGAGAAGGAAGGAGGTTCCCTTTGTTCTGAGTGGGCCTGATGGACCACCAGTGGGACTCCCATCCCTAGAGCATTTTCTTTCCCCTGCTTCCTCTGTTCCCTACCCACTCCTTGCCCCCACAGCACTCTCCAGCCCTTAGTGTGGGAAGGTTGCTGTAAGATGACCATAGAAGGGTACAATGGGCCTCCCTGACTTCTCTCCATCCCTCTGGCTCAGATGACAACGAGTGCCTGAGGGACCCCTGTGCAGGAAAAGGGCGCTGTGTCAACCACGTGGGCTCCTACTCCTGCTTCTGCTACCCCGGTTATATGCTGGCCACCTCTGGGACCACGCAGGAGTGCCGAGGTAAGCCTAGCCTTCCCTCATGCTGGGATGTCCCCATGGGGGAGCAGCAAACCTAGCTGCTACACCCCCTTATCCCCAGGAGCCCACTGCTTGTCCTTCCTTCACTCTGTCAGCAAGTCTCCATGGAGGGCCTGCTCTACCAGGCATGGGGCTGATATGGGCACTCTGTCTAGAGCTGGGAGTGGAAGAGGAAGAGGCGTCTACCACACCCAGCCACAGTGCTGCAGTGTGGGCTGTGCAGGGGTGCCGCAGAGAAAGAGAAGAGGGCTCAGACCTGGGCCTGGGAAGAGGCAGAGCCTAACTGAGACTGGAAGCAGGGGTAGGAATCTGAAAGCCTGTCACATTCATGAAGGCCCAGGAGCTGTGGCTGGAGGAGAGAATGTAATTGGTCAGGGGACATAGCTAGAGATGGAGACTAAAGTCAAGTCACCAAACTCTAGGTGACAAGGAGCTACTTTCATTTACGGTAAGTGGGTCACCCGTGAGGACCCCAAGCAGCGGCTCCCAGCAGACTGGGGAGCAGAGTGTGCCCTTGAGAGAGGCGTATATGTCCCCAGCAGCTTGGAGACACCAGCAAGACCTGAGTTTCCCTCAGAAGGCTTGATTCACTGCTTGGAGACCCATAGTAAAGACAGCAGTAGTCATACTGCTGTACAAAACACTCCATATGCTTTTTTATGAATGAGTCCACCAAGAATATACAACGCAGCCCTTTCCCTGCATTGCCATAGGATTTGTAACTCAGCTGCACTCCCCCACCTGAGAACGACACACATTGGGGTTCACGTTGCTGGTCTGACCTGAACAGCCCAGTGGTCATTCACAAACCCTTCCCAGGAGGCCAGGGGACTGTATATCCTGCAACTACTAGAGTTTGTTTAGGTTCTAAACCCCATCCATGTCTGCCCAAGATCTGGTCTGCAGAGGCTTGATTGTGGAGGAGCAGAATGGAGGGATAGACCACCTAACTCCATTCAAGAGTTTGCATTCATTCGTTCATTCAGCACTCAAGCATTGAGCACCTACTATGTGCCCAGCGCGGGATTCATGGCAACCCCATATGTGTCAGACTAGAGCTGTGCTCCACAGAGTGTGCAGTGGCTGATTTTTTGGGAGGTAGATCACCAGGCCTTTCTTCCAAGGTAGATTCTGGCACTCCATGTGCACAGAGTACAACTGCTCAAGAGGGTTTTCAAGTCTGTGACCTTTTGGAAACAGTTTGTCAGTCCCATCTTCTGAACCACCTCAGGGTGGATTTGAACTGCCAAACTTTCGGCTAGTACTTGAGCACTTAACCATTTGCACCACTCAGGGACTCCTTTAAACATAAACAGCTACCATTGGATGCTTGGTTCCACAATCAACACCAATGGAAGCAGCAGTCAGGATATCAGACGTCATATAGCACTGGGCAAATCTGCTGCAAAAGACCTCTTTCAAGTGCTGAAGAACAAAGATGTCTCTTGGAAGACTAAGGTGCACCTAACACAAGCCGTGGCATTTTCAATTGTCTCAAATGCCTGTGGGAGCTGGACAATGAACAAGGAAGACCAAAGAAGAGTGGAT